CAACAATTTACAATCCAAACCTTGGATCAATTCTAACATATTTCATTCCAAACCCCGACTAGTATCATTATACTAGTCGGATAAATTCCAACAAAATCTCATTTCAGTTCATAGTCATGTAGACAATTCTCAAACTAATTTTCCATTGAAAATATAGTTCATATCAATATACAAAATATAATCTTTAATCACTCATATATCCTTATATGAAGTTAAAATTATATTTCAACATAATATTCATAGTTAATCCCTTCATCAAGCCAATATACTCATATTACATAATCATACACAATTTATCCTTAAATTTGTATATTATGCTCCTTTATTCATTGACAACAATATTTTCATTTAGGCATTATTAATCATTAATAATCCATGAAAATAACATTTAATTACTTTAGGTAATCTTACGAAATTAACCCAAAGATTATAAACAACATAGTCAGCCATCCTCACCTTATGAAGTGCTGGATTAGTTGCCTTTGATAAGCCCTTCGATCAATCCCCGTTCTAAACCGATCAAAAGCTAAATCTGGTCTGCCTGGACAAAAGCCGGCCGGCTTTGGCAAAAGCCGGGCGATGTTCGTCTGTCTGCTGCGCAGGCAGCTTCTCCTTCTTGGCGGTTTCCGGTGGTTTCAACTCCTATCGATTCCACGACTCTTCTAAGTTAAACACCACCACTTTATGACAATATTCTACACTTTTAAACGTGTAGAACTCCATGTTTAATCCATCGTATGATTTTCAAAATCATACTAGAATAAACTAGTTAAACAAAATAGATAGAGTTCTTACCTTGAACTCAAACCACTTCTTGTTGGATTTCCTTCTTCTTGCTACCTCCAATCCAAGACTTTGCTAGAGCTCACTCCTGACCTCTCCTCTTGGCTCTTCCCTTCTTGTGTGGTTCGAATGATGGCAAGGGAGTAGGAGAGAAGTCTTTCTCAATCTACACAACATGAGGTGTGGGATAGGACATGGGTGAGTGGGTTTTGTCTCAATGAGACTCCCCATCCCCATCCTCCGCACAAGCCAAATTGGTGTGGCCCCCCTCCCTTATTTTTGAGTCAAATTAGTGTATAGGATACCCCAAGTGGGTGTAGGAAGTCCCTCCCAATTATTCCTGCTATTTCTGGCCGACCGGGTCAAAATAGCGCTCGGGTTGTCCAACTATTTTTATCAACTTCGGTTGGCATTTTATTTGGCTACTATAATTATTATGATAACCCAACTAAATATTTGGTAGCCCATTCTCATATAATGGACCCAATATATAATTTAATTAATCATGCATTAATTAAATACACCAATCAATTACACGAATTTTATTCGCTAGGAAATTCAAATACATATCACATTTCAAATCCAAGTACATCCGGGTGCGGTGTCACATCTGACATATCTCCTAATGGTTTAAGGATTAATGGTTGAAAGGGCAATTTTCAAATTAGCAACCGGTTAGGCCAATGAATTAAATAAGTGTTTTTTTTGTCAGGAAACATTTCCGATAAAATGATAAAGCTGATATACCCAATAAGTTAAGAAGTTAAATGTACTACAATATATAAAGAATTGTATTGTCATTGTGATTGTCTCGATTTGACTACTGATAAAGTAACTTGTTTGTTTGATTTCAGTACTGTTACTACTGGTGTGACAAAAGAAAGATGGTGAGAGGGTGGGTTGAACAACCAGCACTACCTGGAACTGAGGTTAACTCCTGATTTGAAGGTAAACATTGATCAAAGTAATAGGTACTAATCTGTTCTTTTCCAAACCAGACTGTGAAACAACTGTGGGCATACACCAGGAAGCACAACCTACGATGTCTGCATGTTGTGGGGGGAGGGGTAGACCTGGCATAGTCATTAGAATGTTGCCATTTCCGATAATGTGTCTAATCTCCTTATATAACTTTTTTTTATTTTCTTGTTTTCTTAATACCAATTTGTTACGGAAAAAATTGCTCCTAAGACAGACTAAAAGATGCTGAGGAGGTCTTTTCTCCAAATAAGATCACATCTGTTTTCTTTCTCATGTATTGTTTTACTATGTTCCATTTTGATTTTGGTGTGAAATGGCAGTTAATAAGAACCTTATTGGAACTGGTTACTTGACTGCTGATTAGAAGAAGAAGCTATTGCGGGGAAACAAAAAGAGTACTTACAAATCTCAAGAGGTAGTTTTAGCCCCTCCTCTTCCTTTTTTATATGTCCATATGCAAAGCGGGAGTATAAGAATAAAACAGGCTCTTTCAAATTTTCACAGGAATTTCATGACCAGATAACGGAATCAATCAAACGAATATTCTTTATTTTATTCTTTCTTCTTATTGTTTTTGTTTTAAACCATCTGTTTTGCTCCCTTCATACTATTCCCAATCCACATGTACAGTCTGCTCACTGCTGGGACACATCAACATTTGTGATCTAGAAAGACAAGAAAAATTTATTAAACTCATGGTAATTTCACATCTCTTTTACTTTATTGTGTTACTGTTTATCTGCATGGGATTTGTTCATTTATTTAAAAGAAAAAAACATACTACGTATTTAGCTAGCGATCTAATTAAACTATTCCGATGTACTAACACACTTTTAGATTCTGAGGGTGTATTGGTGGTACCTATGGGGAATTGTAGGGAGTGAAGGGCACTACCAGAGTGGAGCACAAACCACCAGGAGGGGTCGTCCCGGAAGCTGCTGTAGAGAAGCAGAGGGAGCAGCAGTTGCATCATGAACTAACCATATTAGTTGATTTCCAGGGTAAAAGATCAGCAGGTTTGCGAATAGAATCATTCATACAACGAAATTTATTTTCCCATTTCAGCCAAGTAAAGAAGCCAATGGACCGTAAAATAGTAAGTGTCCTTCTCAATCTTTCTTGACTAACATGAGTTTGTTTCAATTGTAGATTTCTGCATGATATTGTTATTTTCTTCTCTTATAAATTGGAGCGGAGGAAGTTTGGCCTAAACTTTAATCCAGATATGATTGCATATTAATTCATAGAATTGTAAATTCCATTTAGAAGATAAAATGTCTAGAAAGCTATGTCTGGTCCATTGGGTTGAAAATGATCGAGTATTTCTGTATTTCCTTAACTGGGAGGTAATAAAAAGTAAAACATGAGTTTACTTATTTACTGTAAATAAGTTTTCCTCTATTCTGAAAATGCTCTTACCAACTGAAGTAATTAATTCTTATTGGCCTTAGCCAAGTCACTAACTAAAGTGCCAAAGAAAGAAAAAGGCTTGGAAAAAAAAAGAAAAATAAAAAGAAAAAGGCTTGGATACATGAGGTAGTAGGAAGACTGAGTACCAGGAAAAAGGACTTTCTTTTGCTCACCTGAACTTACTTTTGATGCCTTCTCGCTAAAGAAATCATATGCCTATCTTGAATGAGAAATGTATGACAATTCATATTGAATCCTCATTGCTTCTAATCCAGTCGAATTAAAATCCGTTGTTCTTCTACTGGATTCTTCTAGCTGAATTCCAACATTGAGGTAAACTGTTCCTCTAAATCCTGTAACATTGTAAACTAAGTTCCAGTTTTCTGGGTTAGTATCACTTTGTTAAGAAACTGTGTGTTAAAACTCTCTATCAAGTATATCTTTGTTGAATTAGTTTTCCTACATTTACTTAAGTTTTGGATCATTTTATTGCTTCCCCCCCTACACCTACACTCCAACATCGAAAACTTGATTATAAGTTGTTGAGACATCGTTGTGCATTTGCTATCTTCTAGTGATCACTTATGTTTCCTATAAATGATAAACTTTACTCCTAAAAAAATAACTGGACAAGTAATTTTGCTCCATCATATGGTGAAAGGAATTTGGAGGTGATCCTTTGGTATTGAGTTTGCACCATTAAGGTTGATCAGAATAAGTACGGGGTGAGATGACCAAACTTATAATTTCAGTTGGGTCCCACCCATATCATATTTAAGTTTAAATCAGAGCTTCTCACATACGGACATACCCATATTCTTCATAAGATGATATTTTTGTGGTTTTGGGTGATTCAATTCCTTCTTTCCATTTATTGGTGATTCCTTTTGTTTGCAGCAGTAGCTTTCTATCCCGAGACCGGGCATCACCCGTTTCCCAAGATTATGGCTGTCCCGACTAAGCTTTCCTAGACCAACATTGAACTGTTTTTTATGCACAACTTTTGTTATATAATTACACAACTTTTTTATGCAGTTATGTTTTTCCCTCTTTACCGAACGTTGGGCCTGACCGTCGCGCAACGCGCGTGCCCACGCTAGTATAGTAATACATACGACATAAGCATGAGTAAACTATATACGAAGTATAATATATGGTTAATATATAACCATAAAAAATAATGTAGATGAAGAATGCGCCTGTCATTTTATATAGTTAAATATTGTGTGTGTACATCATACACTAACAATAATACGGAGTACTTAATAGATACTAATAGCATAAATCATATACGGAGTATGGAGTATTCCATAATGTTTTTGTTTTCAGTTTCTTTTTTTCATTTCGAGATCTAGCAAAAGTAGAAAATTTTCTCTTCTGGATACGACAAAAAAAATCATTCGATCATCTGGAAAAAAAAATCTCCTGTGAAAAAGTTATTGAACAAATGATAGATCTGTGTGGACATTAAAAAAAATGTTGGGTCAATTATAATTATTTTTTAGCTCATTTTAAATGTTACCAAACTATTCTTGACGATATTGTGGGCCACCGTCAGATTCTATGGAGCCGCTCGTGAAGGTTGTTGGGCCTTATCAACAATATTAGTATGAGTCCATTCTAATAAATCTTAATTATTAAATTAATTTGGATCATTTAAAATATCCAATTAATTTAATTATAAATTAAATCTTTAAAAGAATGGATCAGCCCTACTAATTTTGAGCCCATTATCAAATATTGGACCAACATACAAGAGACATGATCCAATTGGTAAAGAAGACAACGAATCTGGTTAAGAAATATGGATATATGCATGAGAAATAGCTTCGAACCTTGTTAAGAAAGCTGTCTAGATACATCAAACAAGTGTTGATAGATTTTTCTAGCTATTAAATGCAAGCAAATAGAGCTCAAAACCCATTTTAATTGGGGCCCAAATAATATGGACGAATTTTGGGAACCTGTTGGGATATATTATCCCGGCCTATTACTGTTCAGGAGCCCAAGACATTACCCAGTACGGAGCCCGAGCAGATAGGCCCATTTCGGCCCATTAGGCCCAATATTGGCCCGTTTGGCCCATTAGGGTGGAGAGCACCCTTTCCCCTATTCTCTATAAATATGGGAGTTTCCCTCCATATTAGGATCTTTTCCTTCTTCCTTCTCCCTCCTTAGTTAGCTTACAAGACTCCATTAATGGGAGCTCAAATTGTACTGTGTAATGGTGAGGAGAGTCCTAATGAGAATTGAGAGGGCTTGGACATTAGCCTAAAAAGTCCCGTGGTTTTCTCCCTTTCGGGTTTCCACGTAAAAACTGAGTGTTCATACATATATCTACTATATCGTGTTGGATTAAACTCAACACTGGCGCCGTCTGTGGGAATCTGTCCAAAAAGATTACATGTGTTCTTCAGTTGTTCTGCAAGATTCATACGAAATGGACTGATTTCAGCAAAAAATAAGAAGAAAATGGTATCCTGGAAAAAATGATTCTGAAGTCCAAATCTGATTTTTTCAGATCTGAGTTGGGGTCACCGGAGCTGCTGCCGTCATCCGCGCCGCCGTAAACCTCCCGGTGAGTTTACCCACACCAGACGAAACTCACCGCAACACCCCAGGTCTTGTCATCCCGGTGAGTTTCCTCCACTAGGACAGCTCCTACTCGAGCCTTCACCTGTGAGCTGCCTCTCTGCCGACGCGCCTGAGGGAGACCTGCCGCTGAGAGCTTGATTTCCGCCATTAATGGCGGTGAAGAGCTCAGGAAAGACACCAGAAACTAGCCGCTCAAACTGCCCCTGCTCTGCTGCGACTGCCATCTCTACCGACAGAGAGTGGCCGGCACGGACGAGCAGCGTCTAGTTTCCACCTGCTTTTTTCTAGAAAAAAAAAAAACTCCGTATGAACGTCCTTGGTCTAGAGCAGACCACGTCCGCATGTGTGAGACCAAGTAATTGGAGGCCAACTTTCAATTGAAGGATTTTGACCATGTCAAAATTGAGAAACAAAAAGAAGCAAAACTGGCTCTACACAACAGCATCACTGGCCGAACCTTTAATTTGGAAGCTAAGCCCACATACTCCCTCATTTACTAGTTAAAGTATTAGAATAATGATAGTATCATGAATACCGTTTTTAATTATCATCACCATTATTTATTAGGGATTAAAATCTCCCGAAATTAAATAGTGAGAGCGATGCTCTAAGTGATAATTAGTTTACCGTCATTCAAATTAGATGACTGGTTGTTGTGGGCCTATTGGCCCGCTCCCGATCGGCTTTAATTAGCGAACGGAGCGTATCTGAATGACTTATGGTAGGATAATACTATTATTACTACCCGTACATCACTATTATTTATTAGGGATAAAAATGTCCCGAGATTAAATAATGCAGAGCGAAGCTCTAGTGATAGTTAGTTCAGCCAACTTTTTTATTAAATATTTAATTGTTGGGGGGTTCGATTAGCCCACTCTCGATCGGCTTTGATTAGCGATCTGGGCGTCTCCAGAAGGGCGATGCCCCGACGACGCATTTTAATTTGAGGGTTGCACGTTAGTCAGCACGGCACTACGTGCCCGATCGACGATCGTACCCCAGTGTCATCTACCCCATTAGGCGCGAAGTGACTTTTGCCAGACGTGGCCTGTGGGGCCCGCGGGGACCAAAGCACTCAACCTCGTTTTTCCGAGGGCAGTGCGACCAACTTGGGTCTGAGTTTGAAAACTCACAGACTGATGAATATCTCTATGTGACGTTCGGTGGGCTGCTGATTGGCCCCGCCGCGAGCTGCTACGTCCATTAACCCCGCACGATGAGCCGGGCCGAGGGTCACGATAACCCATAGGCCGGTAATCGTGGATGTTAAAGAGAAAGCCATGCAGATGGTTATGTGTGTATACATATTGTCGGGCCGTGCGGCCCGTTGTCATGCTTATTGCGCAGCTGAAGCCACTCGACGCGCTCGAGCGAAATGATTAAAAGACGCTTGGCCCGAGTCTTGAAGACGTTCAGGGCCAGCTAAAGAGGGGACCACCATGGTTGAGAACCGTGGGACGAGCATCTCCACCCCAGAGACCGATGGCCTAGGGAGAACACCTAGAGGCCGAGGATCTAGAGGCGAATGCCATGACAGAGAACCGTGAGACGATCATCCATCATCCAGAGGCCGAGGGCCAAGAGGAAACCATCACGGCTGAGAGCCGTGATACGAGCATCTCCACCCTAGGAGCCGGTGGCCTAGAGGAGACCACTACGACCGAGGGTCGTGGGACCATCCTTACATCACGACCGACCCCACGGTACGGCGTATTTATCACTTGAAGACCGGCCTCGTCCCCGCGCTGCGCGGATGAGGACTGTTGCTGGATTTCAGGTCGGCCCTTATTGCCGACATCATTATATCACGACCGGCCTCTCGGCCCGATGTGATTATCATATTTGAAGACCGGCCTCGTCCCCGCGCTGCGCGGATGAAGACCGTTGCTGGATTTCTTTCAGGTCGGCCTCTCATCGCCGACACCATTATATCACGACTGGCCTCTCGGTCCGACGCGATTATCATATTCGAAGACCGGCCTCGTCCCCGCTGCCTCGCGGACGAGGACCGTTGCTTGACCATATCTTAATAGGCATCTCATTGCCGACATTATCATACCACGACCGGCCCCTCGGCTCGGCGTGTTTATCTTTTGAAGACCGGCCTCGTCCCCGCCCTCGCGGACGAAGACTGTTGCTTGATTTTTCTCAGATCGGCCGCTTATTGCCGACACCATTATACCACGACCGGCCTCTCGGCTCGGCGTGTTTATCTTTTGAAGACCGGCCTCGTCCCCGCCCTCGCGGACGAAGACTGTTGCTTGATTTTTCTCAGATCGGCCGCTTATTGCCGACACCATTATACCACGACCGGCCTCTCGGCTCGGCGTGCTTATCTTTTGAAGACCGGCCTCGTCCCCGCCCTCGCGGACGAGGACCGTTGCTTGATTTTCTCAGATCGGCCGCTCATTGCCGACACCATTATACCACGACCGGCCTCTCGGCTCGGCGTGCTTATCTTTTGAAGACCGGCCTCGTCCCCGCCACATCGCGGACGAGGACCGTTGTTTGATTCTTTCAGGTCGGCCTCTCACTGCCGACACTATCATGTTATGTTTGGCCTCTCGGCACGACATATTATCTTTTGAAGACCGGTCTCATCCCCGCGCTGCGTGGATGAGAGCCGCTGCTCGGATATATCAGCCTGATCGGACACTATTGTCATCTCCTTATCAGGACCGACTGCTCAGCGACATTATGATCATTGTATATCGGCTCCCAGCGCCGACCTTCTTGAGTTAGCGATCGGGCTCACCCCTCCCCTCCAGGAGGGTGACCATCGCCATCGCATGACGACCAGCTATTCCATCGCCTCGTCATTTTATTCATTTTTGTGTCCCACCACCATTATGTGTGACATCACTTGTGGTCATTCTTAGAACCGATGAACGTATTTTCCTCCCTCAAAAAAAAAAAAAAAAGAAAAGAAAAAAAAAAAAAGAAGGAAAAAAAAAAAAAAAGATGGGGAGAAGGGGAGAGAGAAGCTCCTATGAGAGAGGGAGTCTTGACGAGGTATGCCTGATCTTCCTTCGCCGCGTATGACGAACGTCTCCCGACGCGGAGGTTAGTAGAACGTGGGGGAGGCTAGACGTACCAAAGGGAACCTCGGCAGGATAAACCAGTTCCTCCCATTTCCCGTGGATCGATGAACACCTTCTGCCAAAGCAGAAGGCTAGTAGGGCCACGAGCATGGGACGACGAAGCAGGGAATCCCGACGTGGATAAACCAGTGACCTCCTTGCGATCGTTGGATGACCGAACGTCTTCTTCGAAGTAAGAAGATTAGTAGGACCACGACAGGGACGAACGAAGAATAGGGAATCCCGACGTGGATAAACCTGTTCCTCCTTGCGATCGTTGGATGACCGAACGTCTTCTTCGAAGGAAGAAGATTAGTAGGACCACGACAGGGACGAACGAAGAATAGGGAATCCCGACGTGGATAAACCTGTTTCTTCTCATAGTTGGGATGACGAACGTCTCCTGCGAAACCAGGAGACCAGTACTCACGAGACTTGGGAAGAACGAAGAACCAGTTCTTTATCGGAGTCTGTTGTGTGCCGAGTGTACACCGCTTAGCGGTCCGTACATAGGACCACAGATACGGTAGACGAACGAAGATTAGCTCCCCAGATCAGACAGGAGGGACCAGTTCTTTATCGGAGTCTGTTGTGTGCCGAGTGTACACCGCTTAGCGGTCCGTACATAGGACCACGGATACGGTAGACGAACGAAGACCAGCTTCCCAGATCAGACAAGAGGGACATCGCCCAGATTTATTTCAGGCTCACCATTCCTTCCCGGATGGAGTCCTGGCAGACGATCGGCTTCCCACAGCCAATCAGGAGAGAGACTTGACACATCACCGAGAGGCCGAGGGCCATGAGATGATCATCACTATTTTTCTGTATCACGATCGGCCCCTCAGCGCCATCGTGTCCTGATTCACGGTTCGGATCGTCCATCCCTCCAGGATGGCGACGACCGTCTTATGCAGTACGATCGGCCCCTCAGCGCCATCGTACCCAGTTCACGTTCAGCTCGTCCATCCCTTCCAGGGTGGTGACGAACGTCTTATGCATCGCGATCGGCCCCTCAGCGCCATCGTGTCCAGATTCACGGTTCGGATCGCCCATTCCCTCCAGGATGGCGACGACCGTCTTATGCAGTACGATCGGCCCCTCAGCGCCATCGTACCCGGCTCGCGTTCAGCTCGTCCATCCCTTCCAGGGTGGCGACGAACGTCTCATGCATCACGATCGGCCCCTCAGCGCCATCGTGTCCAGATTCGCGGTTCGGATCACCCATCCCCTCCAGGATGGCGACGACCGTCTTATGCAGTACGATCGGCCCCTCAGTGCCATCGTACCCAGCTCACGTTCAGCTCGTCCATTCCCTCCAGGATGGCGACGACCGTCTTATGCAGTACGATCGGCCCCTCAGTGCCATCGTACCCAGCTCACGTTCAGCTCGTCCATTCCCTCCAGGATGGCGACGACCGTCTTATGCAGTACGATCGGCCCCTCAGCGCCATCGTACCCGGCTCGCGTTCAGCTCGTCCATCCCTTCCAGGGTGGCGACGAACGTCTCATGCATCACGATCGGCCCCTCAGCGCCATCGTGTCCAGATTCGCGGTTCGGATCACCCATCCCCTCCAGGATGGCGACGACCGTCTTATGCAGTACGATCGGCCCCTCAGTGCCATCGTACCCAGCTCACGTTCAGCTCGTCCATTCCCTCCAGGATGGCGACGAACGTCTTATGCATCACGATCGGCCCCTCAGCGCCATCGTGTCCTGATTCACGGTTCGGATCGCCCATTCCCTCCAGGATGGCGATGACCGTCTTATGCAGTACGATCGGCCCCTCAGCGCCATCGTACCCGGCTCTCGTTCAGCTCGTCCATCCCTTCCAGGGTGGCGACGAACGTCTCATGCATCACGATCGGCCCCTCAGCGCCATCGTGTCCAGATTCGCGGTTCGGATCACCCATCCCCTCCAGGATGGCGACGACCGTCTTATGCAGTACGATCGGCCCCTCAGTGCCATCGTACCCAGCTCACGTTCAGCTCGTCCATTCCCTCCAGGATGGCGACGAACGTCTTATGCATCACGGTCGGCCCCTCAGCGCCATCGTGTCCTGATTCACGCTTCGGATCGTCCATCCCTCCAGGATGGCGACGAACGTCTTATGCATCACGATCGGCCCCTCAGCGCCATCGTGTCCTGATTCACGGTTCGGATCGTCCATCCCTCCAGGATGGCGACGACCGTCTTATGCAGTACGATCGGCCCCTCAGCGCCATCGTACCCGGTTCGCGTTCAGCTCGTCCATCCCTTCCAGGGTGGCGACGAACGTCTTATGCATCACGATCGGCCCCTCAGCGCCATCGTGTCCAGATTCGCGGTTCGGATCACCCATCCCCTCCAGGATGGCGACGACCGTCTTATGCAGTACGATCGGCCCCTCAGTGCCATCGTACCCAGCTCACGTTCAGCTCGTCCATTCCCTCCAGGATGGCGACGAACGTCTTATGCATCACGATCGGCCCCTCAGCGCCATCGTGTCCTGATTCACGCTTCGGATCGTCCATCCCTCCAGGATGGCGACGAACGTCTTATGCATCACGATCGGCCCCTCAGCGCCATCGTGTCCAGATTCACGGTTCGGCTCGCCCATTCCCTTCCAGGATGGTGACGAACGTCTTTATGCAGCACGATCGGCCTCTCAGCGCCATCGTGTCTGGCTCATGTTCGGCTCGCCCATCCCTTCCAGGGTGGCGACGAACGTCTCTTATGCAGCACAATCGGCCCCGCCGTGCCATTGTGTCGGGTTCATCTCCGGATTGCCCATCCCTTCTAGGATGGCGACGACCATCTTATGCAGCACGTCTGCCTCTCGGCGCTGACATGCCCGGGTTTTCGATGAGAGCCACCGCTTTCTATCACATCTCACATTCCTTCTCTCATACATTGCACCCATACATTACATGCATTCATGCATTCATGCATCATACCTCATACATTCATACATACACACGTGCATCATGTTTTGACAGTACCGCGACGTCGGTTTATAGATGCATGGACCTTAAGCTTCTCCGATTGGAAAGCTCGAGTCAGAGTGCTTTACTCCCGCCTGATGCATTCAGGGGGAGTGTGCCCGTGGAGGAGCACCCTTCGCCCGACCCTGTCGGGAAGGGGGGTGCCTCACGGGTAGATTACGTTCAGGAGTGTGGACATCCACTCATATATTATGATTATTCGAAGACACAGGTTCCAGCTAGACAGAGGCAGAGCGCAGGCAAGAATATACTTTCTCGAGCAGATTCGCGCACTCACTACTCAAGAAACTGGGGGACTTGTGTTGGGATATATTATCCCGGCCTATTACTGTTCAGGAGCCCAAGACATTACCCAGTACGGAGCCCGAGCAGATAGGCCCATTTCGGCCCATTAGGCCCAATATTGGCCCGTTTGGCCCATTAGGGTGGAGAGCACCCTTTCCCCTATTCTCTATAAATATGGGAGTTTCCCTCCATATTAGGATCTTTTCCTTCTTCCTTCTCCCTCCTTAGTTAGCTTACAAGACTCCATTAATGGGAGCTCAAATTGTACTGTGTAATGGTGAGGAGAGTCCTAATGAGAATTGAGAGGGCTTGGACATTAGCCTAAAAAGTCCCGTGGTTTTCTCCCTTTCGGGTTTCCACGTAAAAACTGAGTGTTCATACATATATCTACTATATCGTGTTGGATTAAACTCAACAGAACCCTAAAGCATATTTCATCCCCTCCACACCTATAAATAGGGGTCTCAGTTGAGAGGAAGAGGAGGAGAACTTCCAGACTAAGAAACGCTGCAGCAAAGCTCTGAAGAACTCCCGAGAGGCTCTGAACGATTCCGAAGAAGATAGAGGAAGAGATCAAGCCACGACTTTGTCAAGAATATATGAATAATCCTTTGTGATTTCATCTATTCTTGATAAAATAAGTTCAAAAGTTGAAGAACATTCGAAGATCTGAAGAACGAAGCTCGAAGATTCGAAGATCTGAAGAACAAGACTTTGAAGATTCGAAGATCTGAAGAACGAATCTTTGAAGATTTGAAGATATTCATATGAAGATTGAATCAAAATTCAATTGAAGATCAAGCCATATATCCCGGGAGGCCCTTAAACAGAAGATTAAGCCATAAAACGGCCCTTTTGTTGAAGATCAAGCCACTTGAAAACCGGAGGCCCTTCAATCTGAATTCTTTATTCAATAAGATTTGAAGATCCGAAGAACGAAGATTCGAAGATCTCAAGAACGAAGATTCGAAGATCTCAAGAACGAAGATTCGAAGATTCGAAGAACGTTCGAATATTTGAAGGATTAGAGATTTAATTTTAAATTAAATTCTTTAATTATATTACTTCGAATTGCAAGTGAAGAATCAGAGGATTCATATTTAGAGATTGTACCCAATATTTTCACATATTATTATTTGCGATCAATTTTAAGTAAATACTTAAAATTTGTTTCAACAAAACAATCGAATAAATTTGCCTCTAGTGGAAAACAAAAATACTCGGGGTATTGAACAAGTTACGGAGAACTATTGATAATAACCAATATAAAACAAATGTGAAAACAAAATAGGGGCAACTTCAATTGTTCTTTAATAGATGTGTACGTAATACTTCAATTGTTCGATAGTATATGAATCAAGAGAAAAGGAAGACTAACCTTCATTTGAAGCTTTAGGACGAATTGCTTATCTATGATGTATTGGGATGCTTTGAGATACCTGGATACTGTTGAGGGTAATGATGGTGGCCGATAACGGCGGCATGGCTGGACGAACGACGTGGGACGGCAGAGCTGATCGTGCGACGACGACCGTCAAACGGAGGACTTACAATTGCAGATCCGGTGGCCGGCGTCTTTCAGCGATGGGATCTGGCGGGCGGCAGCGACGGGATCCAGCAGGTGCGGCGGGTTGCGAACAGATCCGGCAGACTAGATATTTGGGAGCTTCAGATCCGTTGGGCGGCGTCTTTCAGCGATGGAATCTGGCAGGCGGCAGCGACGGGATCTGGCGGGTTGCGAACAAGCTTCGATCTAGATTTCGTATGCTCGAGCATATTAACGTCGATTAATGTGAAGATGGTGTGCAGTGGTTGAGAAACACAGGCCGATGAAGAAGGCCGTACGCTCGTCCATGGATACTAGGATAGGGTGCCGAGTGGAGCATGGCGGCGGAGGTGCTGATTTCAAGTAGGGGTGGGTTCGGTTCTTGCGGTTCGGTTTTGACCTAAAACCAAATATAGAATCAAAGTAAAAAAGTTCGGTTTCGGTTCGGTTTTGCACTCCAAAACTTGGAACCACGGTTTGATTGGTTCGGTTTGTTTCGGTTCGTTTTCGGTTTTTTACCAAAAAATTATCACTTGATTCAAAGTTGATATAATACTTAGAGGGATTAAACATATTACATAAAGAATGCAAGCACAATACAACGACAAATAAAATAAAAATGAGAAGAGATAAATATGTCTTGAATTATATGAGTATGCGAGATAGATAAAATTGTATATATTATAGATTTAATATGTTTGTGAGTAGTTCGAAAAAAGTTCATGAATATATACATTCTATACTTCTATGTGATATAGTTGAGATGAATATTTATTGTTTTATCAATATAAAATCTTTAAGTTATCTAAAAAAATTAATTACTACTAATAACTAGTAAACACATATTATTATCATTCAATATAGCTACATTATTACATGCAATGAATGTGTAAATGAATTTATAAACTAAATTAAATTAAACATAACACAAACATTATTTTTCTAACACAAGAAAACCAAAGACTAATGATGATATTAAGATTAATTAGAATTAATCTTTAACAATTAAATTATACATATTTTAAATAGTTCGGTTTGTTCGGTTCAGTTCAGTTTTGAAGGGTAAAAACCAAAACTGAACCAAACAACTTCGATTCGGTTCGGGTTTTTACATTCAGTTTCGGTTTCTTAGCGGTTCGATTTTATTTGGTTGCGGTTCAATTTAATTTGATTCGGTTTTTGGTTTTTCGGACCCAACCCTAGTTTCAAGCGCCGGAAGTAACGTGAGAGAAGAAAAGAAAGAAGTTTTAGCATTTGGAGACTTGGAGCTCTCGTGCTGATAACGTGTTTTAAGGAGAATTGTGTGTAACTTCATTACCAATACGCCCTATAAATAGGGAGATATTAGGGTTTAAAGAGACGGACCAATAGGCCCATAATACATCATTTACATAGGATAATCTACACTACATAATCTACTTAAACGATAGCACACAATACATTATTTTCTTTAACATTTTTGAAGTTATTTTGGAAAAAGTGATTAGTAGTAAAAGTTGATAATATTTTAGGAAAAAACGATTTTGAAAGTAAAGATTGATAGTGTTTGATAAAATATGTGTTTTTTGTGTAATAGAAAACGTAAAATCAATTTTCAATCAAAAGCTGAGAAGCATTTTTTAAGTAGAAGTTTTTACTTTAAAACACTAATTTTAGCTTTTTTAAAACTAAAAGTCTAAAAACGCTTTTTTGAGCGTTTGCAAACACTCCCTAAGTGGAATAAAATGTTGGGAAGCTGTTGGGTTGAGGTTGTAATGGATTTTCCTTTAATTAAAAGTAAGGATGTCTTTCCTTGGACTATAATTCATTTCAGACCAGACCAGACTTGGATAGTTATAAAAATACAAAGAAACCAAACCAGACCAGCAAATTACAGTCCAATTAAAAACATCCTAACGGGCCATATTATGGTTTTATTAAATGAGATAAATAGACAACAAACGTTGTTTACAAGGTTATTTAATTTTTTGTCACATTATCTTTCTTATTATGTGGAATAACATGAATTTTTTGTCCCTGAAGTTGTCATTGTAAAATATTTGAAATGTCATTTTAGATTTCAATATTTTTTTGATTAAAACAAGGTTATTTATTTCGACCGTACATCGCGCAGGTGAGAACACTAGATGGCAAGCCGGTCCCAGCTCCACTCTTCACCAGAGATTCTACCATAAATACCATAGAATTACCGGTACAGTAGGTTAACAAAAACCGAACCTAACAAAACCAGTAAATCCCACTCCGAACTTCCGAAGAAAGTAGACTTTAAACCTACCATTGGAGTAGAAAGGTGGTTTCCAATGAGAACCACTAGCCAATTTTTCTTTTTCCTCTTTTTGTGTTTAGTCCTGGTGGCGACTTCAACACAATGCATACGACAGAAATATCATACTAGCTACGTCCTAGAACAACAATAATAAATCTAATTAGAAAAAACTAGACCACAACAATAGTCACATCCATAAACACACACCACATCTCTTACAGGTATTGTCCTTCATCATCACCTTCTTCTTCTTCTTCATATTCCTCATCCGCAGTGGCATCCTGATACTGCTGGTACTCTGCAACCAAATCATTCATGTTGCTCTCAGCTTCGGTGAACTCCATTTCATCCATCCCCTCTCCCGTGTACCAATGCAAAAAGGCCTTCCTGCGGAACATTGCAGTGAACTGCTCACTCACCCTCCTGAACATCTCCTGTATGGAAGTGGAGTTGCCAATGAAAGTTGCAGCCATCTTGAGACCCGTTGGTGGAATGTCACATACGCTGGATTTCACATTGTTTGGGATCCACTCGACGAAGTATGAAGAGTTCTTATTCTGAACATTCATCATCTGCTCATCAACCTCTTTGGTGCTCAGCTTTCCACGGAACACTGCTGATGCGGTCAGATACCTGCCCATTCAGGTTGTAAATGAATCAGGTTTGGTTTGAATTGACCCTATCGTGATATTCAGCCGCGATATCAGTTTTAAAAAACAAATTAATATTCAAATATATTCAATTTTAGTATCATCATCATTCAAATTAATTGACTTGGGTGAGCTAGGTGGGGTTTGAAAATGGTGTGAATGGGAATTCAATTGATGCTTGGGAGGAAGAAATGGAAGGTGAAACATGACTTTGATTCTCCGCTTTTGGGGAACCCACCAAACCAGGTTGGGAATCAAACCATTTCCCCTCCACCATCACACACATTCCATTCCCATAGTCTTCAATTCACCAAACACCCCCTTACATATTAATGTTCAAATTTATGCATGAGTTTGTTTTTGTTGGTTGTACGAGCCGAATTAGTTGATAACAGTTTGATTGCACGAGCCGAATTAGTTGATAACAGGAAAAAATGATGCATTTGGCTGATTGGTTACAATCAATTTACAGTTTACCTTAATTTCTATATTTACTTTTCTTTAATAAATTTATTATTATGGAAATATATTTTAACTATACTTCAGATAATTCAGCCAACTCAACTCTTTCATGCAGTTTGGTTCATACGTTCATGATAAAGCTAAAAAACTTTTAGCTCCGGTTTCATATGTTGATTCATAGCCGACCCCAAAATCTTTTGGGACAAAGGTTTGGATGTGGTTGTTGTAATAAAGTTAAACTCGTTTTTGTTCATCTAAAAACTTTGTAATTTATTTTACTCTAGTTTATTTATTTATGATTTTACATGTTTGTGTGTCACTCATATCTTTAAAGAAAGAGCAAGGCTACATGTGTGCATGCATACGTACACAAATGCCTACATTGAGCAGTTCTGCTAAAAATAGCTCTTAAACTGAACACCGACAAATCGTCCAGATGTTTTACATGTTATATTAGAAGTTATGATTTTTTACACAGCAAACATTATTGCTTTAGAGGTTTTTACTTTTTAAAACAGAAATATAAACATAGTGATATCAGAAACAAAAAAGGGAAAACTAATTACAAGTTAGGAATTTTGTCATAGAAGTTAAGCTTACTTTATGAGAAGTTTTACTTTTCAGTTTTAGTAATATGTAATCTTTTCCATACAAATATAAAATTAAAATATTCATATAATATTAGAGATGAATGTTACACTATTCTCATTAGTAATCTCAAACTATGTGCATCTGAAAAAAATATTCTTACTCTAATCTTTAATTGAAAAATAGATTTACAACTTCAACTCAAGACTCAGGAAAATAATATTTGATTCCTTTACATTTTACCTGCCATGACGGGGATCAGCAGCACACATCATGTTTTTGGAATCCCACATCTGTTGGGAGAGTTCTGGGACAGTGAGGGAACGATACTGCTGTGAACCACGAGAAGTTAGGGGCGCAAAACCAACCATAAAGAAGTGGAGACGCGGGAAAGGTATGAGATTCACTGCTAGTTTGCGTAGATCTGAGTTCAGCTGACCAGGGAAACGAAGGCAGCAAGTTACACCGCTCATGGTGGCTGAGATCAAGTGATTCAAATCTCCAACTGGAAATAGAATTGCATACATCCATATATAATCAGGTCTCATGCACTTCTATTTAAGCTTAATAAATGTGTACAACAATTCTCCGCGCTAATACTTCATAGATGCCCAAAGAAACAGAAGATATTTGATAAGTCTATCAATTTTAATCTATAGAAAGTGATCCTCATAAAGAGTTAAGGAAAGGAATCAGCATGTAAAATCTTCACATGATCAATTTAAGAGTATAATGAGGACATGAAGCTCAACAGATGAAAGTTCACAATTTTTTGGGTACAGCCATACAGAGATATTAAGAAAACGGACTATACTCTGCAGTCTGTATATGAAGAATTTATCAAATCTACCCTCCAAACAGTGGTGGATCCACAGTAACTTAAGAATATGTGTCATATGTAAAATCATATAGATACTACCTATAATTTAAGAAGATCTAAACCAGTGGATTTATCATTTATTAATAGAAAAAGGAGCATATTTTTGTGAAATTAAATGGAAAGACAACTATTCATATGATTAATGCAAACCAATATCAATAAATTATATTTAACTTAATATGTTAGATATAAATCATTGCTAACATGGTTTTATTTAAAATCTATGCATTACAAACTAAACCGAAGAAATAGGCAAATTTCTATATGCAAATTTCACGAAAAAATTAAAAAAAAATGGAAACGACATGAGAATACTGGTGTTTGCGTCATTATGTGCATAGAATATGAAGAGAGTCTTATCTTCTATCATCATGAATTCATGATGTTAAGTAGAGCCAAGAATGTAGGTGTAGAAACAGTTCAGCTCATCCCATGGCCAAAAAAATAGATACTAGCATAGCATGTAATCATATTGATCTATACAGACGTTTAAAACCTCAAACTTTCTAACAGTGTTTGCTAGTCAGAAAAGTTCAGAACAATTATAAGAAGTTAAGAGGTGCAAAAATGCAATACTGCTTAGTAATCCACTAATCCTTTTGACCCATCAAAAGATTGGCAAAGTCATTGAAAGGAAAGTAAAAACCTTCTGGTAGTAGAGTGCTTGGGTCAGTTGAAACAAATAGTTATACTTTACAAGGTAAAATTCATCTAGTGACCATCATGTTCAATCCGTTCTAAATAAAAGGACATGACTTACAGCTTGGGGTGGTAAGCTTGAGAGTGCGGAAGCAAATATCATAGAGAGCCTCATTATCCAACACCATACACTCATCAGCGTTCTCAACCAGTTGATGCACAGAGAGTGTTGCGTTGTAGGGCTCCACAACCGTGTCAGACACCTTGGGCGATGGAAATACAGAGAATGTTAGCATCATTCGGTCCGGGTACTCCTCTCTTATCTTCGATATCAAGAGCGTCCCCATGCCGGAACCAGTTCCTCCACCTAATGAATGACACACTTGAAACCCTAGAAACATAAACCACACAAAAAAAACATTCATAATCAGTTCCGCTTCATTCAGATCTGTTCTAAACAGATGATGAAATTCAAAAGTTAAGCAAACGTGTAACCCCAAATCTATAAATATGAACACATTTACATGCATATATATATATATATATATATATATATATATAATACATATACTAGGACCTTGGAGGCAATCAGAGTTCTCTGCCTCTTTACGAACAACATCCAGGACGGAGTCGATGAGCTCAGCGCCCTCGGTATAGTGGCCCTTGGCCCAGTTATTTCCGGCGCCGGATTGGCCGAATACAAAGTTGTCGGGGCGGAAGATCTGTCCGTAGGGACCGGAACGGACGGAGTCCATGGTTCCGGGCTCAAGATCCATAAGGACGGCGCGGGGGACGAAGCGACCGCAGCTAGCCTCGTTGAAGTACACATTGACGCGTTCGAGCTGCAGATCGGAATCGCCCTGGTAGCGACCGGTGGAGTCGATCCCGTGCTCGGCGCAGACCACTTCCCAGAACTTGGATCCGATTTGGTTGCCGCACTGGCCGCCTTGGATGTGAAGAATCTCACGCATTTTTGGATGATTTCGTTGTGCTTGGGAGGGAGGGCAGGAATGATTTTTGAAATCAAATCGTTTGGGGATGATAAGTATGGGCATTTTAAGCCAGTTTGGGCTTCTATTTCTTTTTTAAAAGCAGAATCAGTTTTAAGAATCAGATCCAAACACCCCCTTAGTCAAATTATTTTATATTTTAAATATATTACTCCCTCTGTTCTCTAATAGATGGGAGTATAGAGTTTGACACAAGTTTTAAGGGGAAGTCATAGGGGTGGTGTAAAAAGTGTAGTCGGTTGTGTTTGAATGAAAAAGTAAGAAAGAGAATGAGGGTATATAGGTATATTTATTGAAAAAACTTTCCAAAAATGAAAAGAGAGACAAATATTCAAGAATACTCCAAAATAGAAAGTGAGACATCTATTAGAGAACGGAGGAAGTAGTATCTATACCCGTGACTTATACGAGATACAATGATTTTTCTTTTAGGTTATACTAACGGAAATTCATTCATTTAGTCGATTATAACATTGGTTTGTAATGCATATTTTAGTGTAGGTATATGTCTCTTTTACTAATGACAATTGACTATTGGAATAAAATACAATTAAATGACAATTTGTTTGTAGCATCTTATTTATGAACTAATTATTAAACATGTTTTCCGTCTATCTACTTTATTAGTACTAATAAAGTAGAGTCATCTAAATTGTAATTGATTTTTCTACTTAAATTGCAATTGAGTACAATTATTAGAATTGATAATTATTAGATTTTACCCATAATTATTTATAATTTAAATGAAGTGAGAGAGATATTTAAATATAAATTGTTGTTAACCACGCACATGGGTGAATCACAAGAAACAATTTATAAGAAATGGGTTGCCCAGCTGATTTTTAGATAACGGTTAGAGATAAACATGGAAAACACCTTTATCATATTATATTTATGAAGGTTGCATAAAAACGTACTTCTTATATACAATTTTGAGTGTCATTTCAAACTTAATTTTTTTTAACCATTTGATCAATTTAATGAGCTTATTTGTTTTAGTTATTAGTATTAATTATTTATATATAACTTTTCGATTTTAAAATTTGATTAATATAGACAAATTAACATTTTCAAAAGCACAAAAAAGGAACATTTAAGATTAAAGACATTATTATAAATAAAGTTATTTATATTCAATCCAATCTTTGACGTCTCATAAAAATAATACTCCCTCCGTCCCATTTAAAGGTTCCCGTGACAAAATGACATGATTATTAGAACAATAATTAATTATGCTAATTCGAGTATGTTTTGAGAAATAATTTTGATGAGTATATAGTATAATGGGTTATTGATGATAACTGTGATTTTATAAATGTATTTTTTTAGTATTTGATGACTAAATTATCATTTAAGAGTGTTAATTGTTTCCTAAAATAGAAAGTGGGAACCTATAAGATACTCCATATGAAGATAAGCGGAGAATTTTCTCTCTCATATGCAATTGATTCATAATTGGGCGAGAAAATTTTCTCTTTTATATATAGTGTTTTTAGGTATAAGAAGATAAACGAACTAATAATTGAGCAGAAAATTTCTCTCTCATATGTAGTGCTTTTAGATATAAGACAAGTGACCTAATAGTTGAGCATGAGAATTTTCTATCTCATATGAAGTGTTTTTAAGTATAAGAAGATAAGCGGACTAATAATTGAGCGAATTAAATTTCTCTCTCATACGTAATGCTTTTAGCTATATGAAGATAAGCGTTCTTATAATTAAGAAAAATAATGTTCTCTCTCATATTTAGGGCTTTTAAGTATAATATAAGATAATCGGACTAAAAATTGAGCGGAATAATTTCTCTATCATATATAGTGCTTTTAGATATAAGATAAGCAGACTAATAATTGATCGGGGGAATTTCCCCTCTCATCTCTCTCTCTCTCTCTCATGACCTCTTAAACTTATGAGAAGCCATTTTCCTATAATTGTCACCTATGTTACGATAATCAATAAATACCAAGCTCTATCACTGTAAAAAATTGAAATATTCCTACCTAGACGCTTTACAGCTTTATATATGTGGCGTTATTTTTTTATCGTTAAACCAACAAATATATTAAATCAACAAAACGTTCGTCATTTGGCTGACAATACAATCAAAGAAAAATTAAAGCAGGAAACAAAATGAGAAAAAGTCTTTTGTCTGTCGCCTGCCCTTGAACCAAACTTAGAATTCTCATCACCTGCCTAAATTCTATAAACTTTCTACTAAGAAATAAGAACACACCCAAAATAATATGCAATTCGAAAGAAAAACACAAACAAAATAAAACGGAATTAAACCAGAATTCATTCATCTTCTTCCAAACCCTAGACTCTCTTGTACTCCATGGTGGCGGCTTGGGAGGGGAACGAGCCAGCCGTTCATCCGCCTCAATAGTCATGCTTTTGTATTGATTGACGATATCCTCCATTGATATCACTTGCTGCTTAATTGAATCCAAGCATCCTGGTCACGAGCCAGCTTGCACGACCAAAATCCAGTGACGGTCGCTCTTCATCAATGACGAAAGCGGAAGAACAAATCCCTAGAGAGGGAGATACCGCCTTTTTTATGACTTATATGTATGTGGCGTCATTGAGAGTTTAGAAAACACAAATTAATGATTTCAATATATAATAAGAAAAGAAAATCTTTAGACATTATCATTAAAATTCTCTTTAAAGTACTTTTTAAAAACTCTAACAATTAAGTTTAATATTTCATTATCCGTTACCAACAACAATAATAATTATTACGTAACAAATTCTAATAGATCGTGTCGATTTTTTTTTACTTTAGTTTTCTTTCACTTCGAATATTTGTTGTACGGATTTATAGTTTTTTATATACAGTTATTGTACCCCATTCTTTAAATGATGTAAAATTGTAAAAAAAACTACTTTTATTTATAATCAGATCGTGAATAAAAATACGAGAGATATTCACTTATTGTACCCCAACTGTTTTTTCTCGTGCATATGCACGAGTACTGTGTTAGGGAAAGTCAAATTCCCACTCCTACGAACTCCTCCAGATGACCTACATGGTATATTCAATGGAATACATGCACGCTTCTAAAACAATTCTAAAAATATTAGGTGGTATAATATGATGTTCACATTCACCTAACTTGCTGGAAGAGTTGACAAGACCATCGATACTGATAGAGCTCCGTACGTGTTCAAAATTCATGGACAAAATTATCAACAAATTGGTAGTTTAATGCCTTTGTCTGAATCTACTCCGTAGTTTGCGCAACTGTACATTTATGAGATTGACAACGAAGTAACGAATAAGATGAATACAATAAAGTAATACTCTCTCAACTCATTCTTTCTTATAACAGATATAATTTAAATACTAATATATTTTTCCTCAGGGTGTTTGATACTCGAAATGGTAAACAAATGCGCTTAGTTCAATCCAAGACATGCTGGATACGCATAATGAACTTGCAAAAAAGACATTTGGCATGGCAAGAGACATATTCAGACATGCTCCAGATGCACAAGCGAGGACAAAGCTTATAACAAACGTGAAAAGACGGGAGAAGGTACAATCTACCATGTGCCTCGGAAGCTGCGGCTCTTATTGTTGGTGATTTTGAAGGAGACATTAATCCCATTGACATCATAATACAAACAAAAGAAAGAGTCCTACAGAGGATCAATGAAGCACACCCATCTTACATGGTTTTGAAGTATCCATTGCTATTCTCTTATGATGAGAATGGATATAGGCCGGACATCAAGTACAGATCACAAAGAGATGAGCACAGCTGGTAAAAGGGAATAATTAAGAATGCGTGAATTCTTCGCATATAAGCTTCAATCAAGGGAATGTGAGTTACAGTACAATCCTTAAATCAAGGAGACCTCTTCGGTAGTTCATTGTTGATGCTTCTACAATGATTGGATATAGGAAAGACTCTAATGTCTAAGAAACAATTAGGTGAAACTGAGATCTAATATATACAAAGGTCTGGTAGATGCAGTTGTAAGGGGAGAAACAAACCCACATGCCCAAGGCAAACGAATAATATTACCGTCTTCATTTACCGGCGGAGCAAGGTACATGATTCAGACCTATCAGGATGCGATGACCGTTGTTCTTAACTGTGGTAACCCAAACCTTTTTATAACTTTCACGTGTAACCCAAAATGGCCATAAGTAGATATGTCTTCATGATGGAAACTTCAAATCTAAAGACAGACCCAATATCATTGTGAGAATCTTTAAGATTAAGCTAAAACGTCTCATTGAAGAACTCAAAGATAGGAAACTATTCAGAAAACCTCAAGCGCATAAGTTCTCTCCAATGATGTCTTCGTTTTAAATAAATGTGGATATAATTACATACTAATTTACTTCATTGAATTGGTTATGCAGTTATTTACACTACGTGCCCGCATCTTCCTGTTTATACGCTCTGAGTACAAGTTGAGAGGCGTTGATGACATTGATAAGGTCATCTCAGCTGAACTCCTGATCCTCTCCAATATGTAGACTTGCATGACGCGGTAAAAAAGTTTAATGATACACGGCCCTTGCGGAGATTTCAACAAAAAATCACCTTGCATGATAAACAGTGTGTTCTAAACATTACCCAAGGTTCTCTTTCAGGCCCACGATCTCCATTAATGAAGATGGGTATCCAGAGTATAGGAGAAGGAACATTGGCATAACAGTAAACAAAGGTGGAAATCCTGAATGAATTTCTAATCAAGGCGGAACATAACTACCTAGCAGCTATCGTTAATAGCACATATCCCAACATGTAAGAACGCCTCAGCAATCCAACTTACCTGCAGGAAAGAGTGATACTTGCACCTACTATAGACGTGGTTCGCCAAATAAATGACTACATGCTATCTTTGATCACTGGTGATCAAATCACGTACCTCAGCTCAGATAGTATTATTAATTCAGATATCGGTTTGTGTCGTGAGAGTGACATATATACATTAGAATTTCTTAACAGTCTCTCAATATCGGGGTCGCCTGATCACGAGTTGCATCTAAAGATTGGTGCTCCCATTATGCTCTTGAGAAAT